GGCGGCGGGGCAGCGTGGGGCTGGAGGTGCTGGAGGAGCTCAGCCTCCTCACCCTGGACACCCTCCAGAGGTGCATCTTCAGCCACCAGAGCCACTGCCAGGAGTGAGTGTCACCCTCTCCCCCACCAGTGTCCCCAGCACCGGCCCTGTCCCCCCTTCCCTGTGTCCCACCACGAGGGACCCACCTAACCCCAGCTCTGTCCCCAACTGGGGTCCCCCCAGGCTTTGCACCCATTGGGGTCACCGTTGTCCCAGTTGTGTCCCCCACTGGGGTCCCCTGCCCAGGTTTTGTCCCCAGCTGGGGTCCCCCTTGGCTTTGCACCCATCGGGGTCACCCCTTGTCCCGGTTGTGTCCCCAACTGGGGGCCCCTGCCCAGGTTTTGTCCCCAGCTGGGGTCCCCCTTGGCTTTGCACCCATCGGGGTCACCCCTTGTCCCGGTTGTGTCCCCAACTGGGGGCCCCTGCCCAGGTTTTGTCCCCAGCTGGGGTCCCCCTTGGCTTTGCACCCATCGGGGTCACCCCTTGTCCCGGTTGTGTCCCCAACTGGGGGCCCCTGCCCAGGTTTTGTCCCCAGCTGGGGTCCCCCTTGGCTTTGCACCCATCGGGGTCACCCCTTGTCCCGGTTGTGTCCCCAACTGGGGGCCCCTGCCCAGGTTTTGTCCCCAGCTGGGGTCCCCCTTGGCTTTGCACCCATCGGGGTCACCCCTTGTCCCGGTTGTGTCCCCAACTGGGGGCCCCTGCCCAGGTTTTGTCCCCAGCTGGGGTCCCCCTTGGCTTTGCACCCATCGGGGTCACCCCTTGTCCCGGTTGTGTCCCCAACTGGGGGCCCCTGCCCAGGTTTTGTCCCCAGCTGGGGTCCCCCTTGGCTTTGCACCCATCGGGGTCACCCCTTGTCCCGGTTGTGTCCCCAACTGGGGGCCCCTGCCCAGGTTTTGTCCCCAGCTGGGGTCCCCCTTGGCTTTGCACCCATCGGGGTCACCCCTTGTCCCGGTTGTGTCCCCAACTGGGGGCCCCTGCCCAGGTTTTGTCCCCAGCTGGGGTCCCCCTTGGCTTTGCACCCATCGGGGTCACCCCTTGTCCCGGTTGTGTCCCCAACTGGGGGCCCCTGCCCAGGTTTTGTCCCCAGCTGGGGTCCCCCTTGGCTTTGCACCCATCGGGGTCACCCCTTGTCCCGGTTGTGTCCCCAACTGGGGGCCCCTGCCCAGGTTTTGTCCCCAGCTGGGGTCCCCCTTGGCTTTGCACCCATCGGGGTCACCCCTTGTCCCGGTTGTGTCCCCAACTGGGGGCCCCTGCCCAGGTTTTGTCCCCAGCTGGGGTCCCCCTTGGCTTTGCACCCATCGGGGTCACCCCTTGTCCCGGTTGTGTCCCCAACTGGGGGCCCCTGCCCAGGTTTTGTCCCCAGCTGGGGTCCCCCTTGGCTTTGCACCCATCGGGGTCACCCCTTGTCCCGGTTGTGTCCCCAACTGGGGGCCCCTGCCCAGGTTTTGTCCCCAGCTGGGGTCCCCCTTGGCTTTGCACCCATCGGGGTCACCCCTTGTCCCGGTTGTGTCCCCAACTGGGGGCCCCTGCCCAGGTTTTGTCCCCAGCTGGGGTCCCCCTTGGCTTTGCACCCATCGGGGTCACCCCTTGTCCCGGTTGTGTCCCCAACTGGGGGCCCCTGCCCAGGTTTTGTCCCCAGCTGGGGTCCCCCTTGGCTTTGCACCCATCGGGGTCACCCCTTGTCCCGGTTGTGTCCCCAACTGGGGGCCCCTGCCCAGGTTTTGTCCCCAGCTGGGGTCCCCCTTGGCTTTGCACCCATCGGGGTCACCCCTTGTCCCGGTTGTGTCCCCAACTGGGGGCCCCTGCCCAGGTTTTGTCCCCAGCTGGGGTCCCCCCTGGGCTTTGCACCCATCAAGGTCCCCACCGTCCCAACACTGTCCCCTCTCAGGTCCCCTCACCCCGACTCTGCCCCTCCTGGTGTCCCCCCTTATTCCACCTTTGCCCCCAATCAAAGTCCCACCCCCCAGTGTCACCCCAGCCTCACCCCACATGTCCTCACCAGCAGTGGTCCTGCTGCCACCCCATGTCCCCTTTGAAGCTGACCATGACCAGGGGGTGGCCACCCGTGGTGGCTCATGGTGGCCATCCCCAGCAGTCCCCGGTGCCCCACAGGCAGCCCAGTGAGTACATCAAGGCCATCCTGAAGCTGAGCACGTTGGTGGTGAGACGCCAACACCGTCTGCTCGGCAGCAGCAGACTTGTCCCCATCCCCCACAGCCATTTTGGGGGACAGTTCTAGACACAAAGGGCCACACCAGCTGCCCTTGATCCCCCACCCCATCACTCCAAGCCACCTCTGTCCTACTCCAGCCGGGACCGGGACAGTGGGGTAAGAGCGAGACGGGTCCCTCGTCCCTGTCCCCGGTGGCAGCGGTTTGGGCCCCGGAGCTGTTTACGCCGCGCCGGCCGGGTCAAGGTCATGTTTTGTAACCGGAGGCACCGCCGCCGTGGTGCGGCACCGGCGTCAGGCACTCGACCGCCTCGGCCACCAGGCCTGGCTGGAGAGCCACCGGGGACGGAGGATGGACTTCATTGACCTTCTCCTGCTCGCTAAGGTAGCGTTGGGGTGAGATGGTGTGGCCATGGGGAGGGTTGGCCGTAGGGTGGTGGCCGTAGCGGCATGGTGGTGGCCAAGGGGACGGTGATGGTCAAGGGGATGTTGGTGGCCATAGGGTTGATGGTGGCTAAGAAGATGGTGGTTCCCATGGGAAATGTTGGCTGTAGAGGGTGGTGGCTATAGCGGCATGGTGGTGGCCAAGGGGATGGTGGTGGCCAAGGAGATGGTGGTGGCCAAGGGGATGGTGGTTCCCATGGGAAATGTTGGCTGTAGGGTGGTGGCCATAACGGCATGGTGGCAGCCAAGGGGATGATGGTGGCCAAGGGGATAGTGGTGTCCAAGGGGATGATGGTGGCCAAGGGGATGGTGGTTCCCATGGGAAATGTTGGCTGTAGAGGGTGGTGGCCATAGCGGCATGGTGGCGGCCAAGGGGATGGTGGTGGCCATGGGGACGACTGGCCGTAGGGTGGTGGCCATAGCAGCATGGTGGTACCCAAGGGGATAGTGGTGGCCGTGGGGTTGATGGTGGCCAAGGGAATGGTGGTTCCCATGGGGAATGTTGGCTGTAGGGTGGTGGCCATAACGGCATGGTGGCAGCCAAGGGGATGATGGTGGCCAAGGGGGTGGTGGTGGCCGTGGGGAAGACTGGCCATAGGGTGGTGGCCATAGCGACATGGTGGTAGCCAGGGGGATAGTGGTGTCTAAGGGGATGGTGGTGGCCAAGGGGATGGTGTTTCCCATGGGAAATATTGGCTGTAAAGGGTGGTGGCCATAGCGGCATGGTGGTGGCCAAGGGAATGGTGGTGGCCATGGGAAAGGCTGGCCACAGGGTGGTCCCATAGCAGCATGGTGGTGATCGAGTGGATGGTGGTGGCCATGGGGAGGGCTGGCTGTAGGGTGGCGGCCATAGGGAGATGGTGGTGGCCACAGGGGAATGGTGGTGGCCAGGGGGAGAGTTGGCCATACGGTGGTGGCCTGAGGAGGCCCCTTGGCTGCCACGCTCACACTTGCAGGACGAGGACAGCAACACCCTGTCAGATGAGGACATCTCGGCCGAGGCTGACACCTTCATGTTTGCGGGTGAGGACGAGCCACCGGGTGCCATCGGAGGGGAGGGACTCACACGTCCCCTCGATCACCCCTTGTCCCTGCAGGCCACGACACGACGGCCAGCGGCTTGGCATGGCTGCCCCACCACCCCGCCCCCTACCAGGATCGGTGCCGCCAGGAGGTCCGCGAGCTCCTCAAGGGCAGGAACGTGGAGGAGATCGAATGGTGAGAGGTCTCCGGTGTCATCCCTCGGCCACCCGGCTTGGGGACCTCGGTGCCACCATCCCTCACCCCCAGGGAGGACCTGTCCCACCTGCCCTTCACCACCATGTGCATCAAGGAGAGCCTCCGCCTGCATCCCCCCGTCACTGCCGTGTCCCGGCGCTGCACCGAGGACATCGCCCTGCGTGACGGACGTGTCATCCCCAAGGGTATGGCTTGCCCAGGGCGCGAGATGTCCTCAATGTCACCGTCCCTCCTTGTCCCCTGTCCCTAAGGTTGCCGTTTCCATCCCACCAGGGGTCATGTGCCTGATGAGCATCTATGGGACCCACCACAACCCAGACATCTGGCCCGAGCCCCAGGTAGAGCCACTTGGCTATGGTGGCATCCACCTCGACATGACCGTGGGACAGCAGGATGTCACCATGGGCAGGGACAACCACGTCCCCACGGCGTGATGGTGTCTATGTCACTCCAGGTCTACAACCCATTGAGGTTCAGCCCAGATAACAGCCACGGACGGTCCCCGTTGGACTTCATCCCCTTCTCCGCCGGTGCCAGGTAAGGCGTGGGGGGGACACGGGTGTCCCCACGTGTCACCCCCCCCCCCCACCCTGGTTGGGTTCAAGGTGGGGTGGTTGTCACCCAGCCATGACGTTTGGATGTCATGGGACCAATGCCATCCCCACATGTCGAGGAGGTTCTACCATCTGCTCCACCAGCCAGGTGGTGGTGGTGGGGTGGTGGCTGCTGTCCCTTGGGTGTCCCCCATGGAGGTGACAGAGGGGGGACGTGGTGGCAGGAACTGCATCGGGCAGAGCTTCGCCATGGCCGAGATGAAGGTGGTGGCGGCGTTGACGGTGGCACGTTTCACCATTCGGCTGGACACGGGGCGGCCACCGCGTCGCAAGCCCGAGCTGATCCTCCGCACTGAGGACGGGCTCTGGCTGCTGCTGGAGCCACTGCCGGAGGTGGCCTGAGGGACACGGGGACATGGGGGACACCCCGCGTGGTGGCTGTCCCACCCGAGGGAGGAGCAGTGAATAAACGGTGGCACGGAGGGGACGGTGTCGTGGTGGTGTGATGGAGGACGGGGTGGGGCTGGTGGGGATGTGTCCTCCTTGATCATGTGCCACCTCAGGGCATGGACATGTCCCTCCATGCCGTACGTCACCATCCTGGCATGGAAGTGTCCTGCTGGGCCACATGTCACCATGCCGGTATGGAAGTGTCCCCCCCACGACACTACAGGTCACCATTCTGGCATGGATGTGTCCCCACATGCCACGTGTCACCATCCTGGCATAGATATGTCCCTTGGGCCATATGTCACCATCCTGACATGGACATATGCCTCCACACCACATGTCATTGTCCCGGCATGGACACGTCCCCTGGGCCACATGTCACCATGGACATGTCCCCCCCCATGCCACAAGTCACCATCCATGGACATGTCCCACAGTGCCACATGTCACCATCCTGGTGTGGACACGTCCCCCCATGTCACATGCCACCATCCATGAACGTGTCACCCTGTGCCATGTGTCACCATCCATGGACAGGTTCCCCAGTGCCACGTGTCACCATCCTGGTGTGGACGTGTCCCCCCATGTCACATGTCACCATCCATGAACAGGTCCACCCATACCACATGTCACCATCCATGGACGTGTCCCCCAGTGCCATATGTCACCATCCTGGTGTGGACGTGTCCCCCCATGTCACATGTCACCATCCATGGACAGGTCCACCCATACCACATGTCACCATCCTGGTGTGGACATGTCCCCCCATGTCACATGTCACCATCCATGGACGTGTCCCCCAGTGCCACATGTCACCATCCTGGTGTGGACACGTCCCCCAATGTCACATGTCACCATCCATGGACATGTCCCCCCATGTCACATGTCACCATCCATGGACAGGTCCACCCATACCACATGTCACCATCCTGGTGTGGACATGTCCCCCCATGTCACATGTCACCATCCATG